CGAAGTGCAGAAAACCAGCTGAGCAGACCAGTGGGAAAATACAACTCCCTTTCTTGTGCTTAGGTGTTGCTGTGAGTCACAGATCAAAATGATATTTTCATTCAGTTTTAAAATTTTTTTTAGACAGAATGAAAATGGCCACATTTACTTTCTAACTCTGACAATTGTGTTTGTCCTGGGTATTTTATGGAATCCTGGTTTTCATATACAACACGAAAGGTGGTAGGAGAGGTTTTGTACCTTCCTCAGAAATGCCTGCTTCCTGAGAAAAGTTGGAAGGAAGTCCCAGCGGAGCCTCCGTGAGTCTTCCGAGGCCGCGAATTGCATGGGAGGAGATTGCCTGTTTTTCTCCCGCTGAGCCCCTGTGGATGCAAACGGCCTGCCTTGGGGTTGGCAGCACAGCTCCTTACCCCACTGCGCTACCAGCAGAGCTCCCTTGAGAAAAGGGTAGTATTGCAAAAGCACTTTTTGGTGTAAATTGTTTCAAAGGGTCCTTTAGCACTTTGAGGGGCAAGAGGGTTATGGAAACAATTTTTGTCTAAGCTCATACTTAAATGAGTTATTGGGGAAAGAGTTATGTTGTTATTGGCCACATTTTTTGGCCCATTCATTCACTCATGTAGCGGATACCACTGAGTACCGAGTAGAGGGCCAGTGTTGTAAGTACAGGAGTGAGTAAAGCAGCATATGTTCCAACTGGGGGAGGGACTGGGTGTGCAGATGGTAAAATGAATTATTATATAAAAAGATAAGTGCTAGGGAGAAAGGTAGGGGTGGGGATATGGGGGGGGGAAGACCTAGTGAGTTCAAATGCAAATGACCTCATTGCCATTGAATCAGAACCAGCTCACAGCAACCCTCCATTGTGTTTCTGGGGCTGGCAATTGCCTGGGAAGATAGCACCCATCTTCATCCAGGGCGCCTGGGGCAGTCGACAGAGTCAGTAGTGAGGCTCCTTGTAGGCAAAAGATTGACATTTGAACCCACTGGCCTTTCTACAGGAAAACGGTCTGACAGTCTGCTTCCCGAGGCGTGAACCCCCTGGAACTCCACAGCAGTGGGTGTTTTGCTTCTGAAACCAGCCTTTAATCTGATTCATTCTGTAATGACACTATGCAGCAATAGGAGTCCTAGTTACAGCTTGGGCTACTAACCAAAAAGTCCTTGGTTTGAATCCATTGGTGCTCTGGTGGAGAAAGATGAGCATTTTCCCGCTATTAGAGTTTACAGCTTCAGAAACCAGATGGATTGTCACTGTGAGTCACATTCGCCACAACGGCAGTGGGTTTTGGCTTGATTGAAGGGGCATGTACTTCAACTTTTTTTCTTCATCTGTTTTCGTGGTTCAATATGGGTAGCAAAGTGTTTGCCATTTCAGCCATCTTGCTGTGTATATTTCAGAGGCAGCTACACTCACCAGGTTCAACATCCATCACCACTGTCACTGTCCAGGTTTTCAGGGAGGTCCTCTCCCGGCCCAGTTGCTCTGGTAACCAGTTACTTCCTCTGGGTGTTTCAGATGATTCGAATTGCGTATTAGTTCTTTTGTGTCTCGCTTATTTTATTCGGAGTTTCTCCCTCCTCTTTATCTAGTTTTTAAAAAGAACAGTTTGTGGTGTAATTCTAAAAATGAGAGAGGGAGTTCAATGCAGAAGACTACATATTGTATGATCCCATTAACATAGTGTTCAAAACGGGCAAAGCCATAGGCAGAAATCAAATTCATGGTTGCTTAGGAACTGGAGGGAGGTGAGTTTCTTTTTGGAGTGATGGAAATGGCCTGTAATCGATTGGGGTAGTAGTTACAGAGCTGTACATGTGCGAACAACATGGAATTGCACACTTTAAAGGGTACATTTTATGGTATGGCAGTTCCAGCACAATACAGAAACTGAAGAGGACATGAGGCTTTTGCTGCAGAAGGATTGAAACTCAACATCAAGAAAACCAAGATTCTCACCACTAGGTCTATTGTCAGTTTCATGATGGAGAAGAGATTGAGATTGTTTATAACTTCAGCTTGATTGGTTCCACAATCAACACTCTTGGCACCAGCAGTTAAGAAATCAGACGGCAAATTGGGGAAGTCTGCTGTCAGAGACCTTTACAGAGCACTGAAGAGCACCAGTGTCATTTTGGAGACTGATCTAGGTCTTTGCAATTACTTACTATGCATCTGAGAGCTGGAGTTGTGGTGCTGGAGAAAAGTGTTGAACATACCGTGGACTGCCAGGAGAACAGATCTGTCCTGGAGAGCGTGCAACCAGTTTGCTCCCCAGAGGGAAAGATTTTGAGGCTCTGTCTCACATACTTTGGGCACGTTTCCAGGAGGGACCAGTCTTTGGAGAGGGACATCATACTTGGAAGGGTGGAGGAACAGCGCAGGAGAGGGAGACCCTCAATGAGATGGATTGACTCAGTGACTGGAGCAATGGGATTAGGTCTGTAGGAGACGATGAAATTGGCGCAGGATAGGGCAGCTTTCAGAGCTAATGTACATAAGGGCACTATGAGTCACAGGCAACTCATGGCACATAACAACAGCAACAAGGCACTGGGAAAATGAATGAAATTAATTTTAAGTGGAATTTTTTAAATGAGAATAAAAACCCTCTCAAAAGAACAAAAACGAATCAGGAAGATTGTTCTTTCTTTCATGGTTTAAGAATAGACAGGACTAAAAAAAAAAAGAGGACTGGAAAGTAAAGGCTGGATTTGGGCAAAAGGCCAGCATTTTAAACCTATTTGCAATAAGTTAACATTTTTTTTTAAAATCCTGACTTAAAATATTGCTGTTTTAAAAAGTAATTTTGTGTCAGTAATGGAAGAAAATTTCCCAGTGATATAATCTCGCTTAGTCAGTAGAATAATTTAGGGCACAGACGTCACACTTTTCCTCTCTAGTCCATCGTTTCCATTTCACTGTCCTGAGAATAATGGGTCCTTTTGCTTGGACACATGCTTGAGGTTAGACAGGGTTTTCGAGGCATACTGTACTATTTTGTCTGAATGCCATGAATCTGGGAGTAATCACTCATCCGTTTTTAAAGCTATGTCTAATTTTAGGTCACGGCACCTCTTGTCAGGGACCATGGAGTTGGCTGACTCACAGTGACACTGGGAACAGCAGAGTGAAACCCTCCCCTGGCGAGTATCATTCTCCCCATCCAGTCACTGTCAGTCCACGCAGCTCATTGAGGCGCTTTCCCTCTTTCTCTGACCCTCTACTTTTCCACCTCGTAGTAGTTATCACTGTTTAAAATGGAATATTCCTCTCTTTTGCAAAGAGAGGGTTCATACAGTGACTGTAACAGTGGACGTGAACATGTCAAATGCATAGAGACAGAAGATACATTAGTGGTTGCCTGGACCTGCAGGAAAGGGGCATGTGCGTGTGTGTATGTTTCTATACAGACACACTGATAAGAGCAGAAGATGTAGATAATGGCACATAGATGCAGAGCGGCCAGCCATCCCGGTGAGAATTGTCTCTGTGCATTTGCCTCTTCCGGAGATCTCATGTGAATGAGATGGAATTTGAGGCCTTTTGTGTTTGGCTGTTGTTTTGGTTCACGTGCACTGACTGCCATGGCCCAGGAGTATGTGTACACCACCTTTTCTTTCTCCATTCATCTTTTGATGGCCACTTGAGATGTTTCCACCTTTTGGCTATTGTGAATAGTACTCTAGTGGACATTGGCTTGCAAGTTTCTGCTGGAATTCAGTTCCTGCCTTGAGTCTTCGTCTCATTGGCAAGGTGCAGTCACAGGACTGTGCAGCTGTGGAATCGTTTGGTTCTGTGCCAAGATCCGTGAATGTTCTCCATGCTGAATTGTGGCTGTTGAAAGGGGGGTTTCCCTTCCAGTGGAGCTTGGCACAAAGATGGCGGCATCTCAGCCAGAGCCTGGTTGAACCGAGAGTGACTCACATCCCAGCAGCTTCTCCTGTATTTATCTGTATTGTTCGCTCTGATAGAGTGAACAACCCAAACACTACTTAGTTCTCTGTTGTTGCTGTAATCGTCACCAGTCTCCATAAATCCTGCCTTTCACATGGACTTGCGGACGCTCTCACAGGATGCTTTCGAGTCATTCTGAATGGCCATGAATATGTATTATTTAAATGAAGTGTATACTTTCTCAAGAAAACGCTGATTAAACAAAATCTTACTAATTTGATACAGATCAAACCCACACTGTTTTTAACTGCCTTAATTTAGGGAAAACAAGCCTTTAAAGAGAAAACAGAATGAAATTGTCCATCCTTTTCTCATTCTACTTGGCCACGTCCACAAGTCATCTTTAAAAAGTAAAATGTGCAGGCTTTTGAGGTCTGTTTTACAATTTCTGAATTCCTTGAATGGATGCAGCGTCTTCCCCTTTTCTGTTTGTTATTTTTCCCTTTCTCTCATTGCCGCTCATTTACTGTTTTGACTTACTGCATTTTAAATACACAGTCACCTCTTTCCATACACACATGCCTTCCTCACTTCACTCTTGTTGTTGACGCCCACACCCCTTAGTTCCCCTCATGGTAGATGGCGTTGTGATGACCTTTACCCTGTACAGCTCTGCCCACATCTCTGATGATTTATTTAGGATACACTCCAGGAGCTATGGCATTCCCTGAACTTTGCTATGTACACTGTCCCACACTGTCCTGGCCCAAGTTAGCCTCGGATGTGTCAGATACCCAAACACAAACCTAAACCCACTGCCCACGAGTCTGTTCCATTGAGAGGAGGACGAGTATAGAAGCAAACCTTAAAGATAAAAGGGTACCATTTGTCCTAAGCATGCAGGCCGTGCTTGATCATGGGAATGGCACACGACCAGGCAAGGCTTTGGTCTCGTGTGCCGGGGCCACCGTGGCCTGAGGTAGGTGTGACAGGGACGGGGGAATATCGTTTTTCTTAGTTGCAATATTGAAATGTCAGATGTTGCATATATAGGAAATTGCATACAAATTCACTTGCTATTCACTGCTGTCTTTCTTGTCAGACGTTCCAGTATGGCTTCTGCAGCAACCCCGAAATATAATTCTCACTCCTTGGAGAATGAATCCGTTAAGAGGGTGAGTGGACTTTCCAGACTTCTTTTTAGATCTTTCTTTGTGTTCCCTTTTCTTATAAGTATTGGGAAAATCCTTTGGGGTGAAAGGAGCCCTGGTGGCACAGTGGACAAGAGCTTGGCTGCCGTGTGACGTCAGCCGTTTTGAACCCACCCACTGTTGACATTGAGCTTCCGTAAGGGGAGTAGCCTTGAGCACGTGTGGGGCAGGCCTGCTGTGGTCCCCGGGGTCCTGTGTGTTGACACTGACCTGCCAGCAGTGGAGTTTTGTTTTATTTTCTTTTGATGGGGTTAGTAAAGTTACTAGCTCTATTTTTTATTCATGATCTATATACAGGTTAATACATACAGTTTTATTATCCTACCTTGTCCCAGAAAATATTTTCCGTTTTCGAGTGGTGCATTTGTAAAATCTTTGACTGTACTGGGGTTTTGAGAACCTCTGTCTGGTGAACTCATGTGACACGTGGCAGACTGTCTGCCCCTTTCCCGGGCTGAGGCACCACCCCTACTCTGGAAGGTTTCTGGAGAATAATGGAAGACTGGACCCTGCATGCTCACCCAGGCTCTTGCTGCTTGCCTTCGAGTCGAAACCACCAGGCGGTGACTCGTCTGGGAGGAGATTGCCCATCTTCCTCCGCGGGGCAGCTGGGGTGCAGCCTGTGTTAGCCCGCTACCTTACCGAAAGGTGTTGGTTTCAGCCTGTCAGTGCCAAGAAGACGGGCAGCCTCCTCCTGTAAGGAATTTAGCGGCTCGGAGGCCGAGGGAGGGTCACCGTGAGCCCCAAATGCCTCAGTGGCAGTGGGATTTGCATTTTATAACTTCCAAAAGTGCCCTCCTGCTTTCTATTTAATCTAATTCTCATATATGCCCTGACTTCCCACGTAAAATGGATGCAGTGATTCTGGAAGTCCGCCAGGGGGCGTGGAGGAGCACGGAGAGCATTGCTGGGACCGACCCTTGGGAGGAACAGGTGTTCCAGATGTTCTCCCTGGAGAGGAAGCCGGTCCGGGGTGGTAGTCCCAGGGGCAGCGCCCAGCGCACCTGCGGCAAGCTCATCCATGTGGCGGAGTGGTTGAAGCTGTGACAGGCAGGAGACATGGACGGCTGCCCGGGAATCCCTCCAAACGCAGAGAGAGCTGCAGCTAACTAGAGGCTCTTTGTAAAAACTCGTCACCTCAAAGTTCGCCATCAATCAGTTGTCCTTCTTATCTGGTCACCTTCGTGAGGAATGATCTCAGTCACACAAGAAACCCAAGAATTAACAGCATTGATTTTTCTGGTGGTGTAAGAAAAGCCGGGTTAGTCATTGTACTGATGTTAACAGAACGTGGAAGGACAGGAGCCACCGCAGTGCCGGTGTGTCACTAGAATAGAGCTGCTCCTTACTTTGCCTTTTTCTAGACGCTTGTATCCTTAAAGCTTTAGGAAAACATCTTGAAAAAAATTACTATTATTGAAAAACCTGTTAATGTTTAAACACAGACCAGAAATCAGCACATCTAATGAACTTTGGTGCCAAATCTAAATATTTTTGGTGGCTTTTATCCTCTGTTCCAGTTTTCTATTGTGGTGATAATCTAAAACAAATGAAAAATTCTCTCAGAAACTCCGTTTCTAGTGGACTGTGTTCCAGTTTCCTGACCTTGAGCTCCCTCCCTCTCTGCCTCCTTCACAGGCTTCTCGAGATGGGGTTAACCGGGATCTCAGCGAGGCGGTCCCTCGCCTGCCAGGAGAGACGCGAATCACTGGTAAGATCCCTGAAGAGTCAGCACTGGCTATGTCGGGTGCTTCCGACCCCTCCTGCTCTGTGGAGACCACGTTTAAACAATGAGGCTGGCTTTGTTTAGATGTCTTACTATAGAGACAGCCTTTGGTGATCATTTCTTCATCGGAAAAGTCTTTAAGTTCATCATAGTCACCAGGAGAGTGGTCTCCCTCCCGCCCCCCCCCGCTCTATACCAAAGACTAGGAATAACATAGGGGGAAATGCAGGTTATCTTGCAAAGCTCTCTTTGAAGCTCTAATTGCTCATGGCTGAGAGTTGTAAAAAAAAAAACCCAAATACTAAGTTTTCTTGCCTATGATGTATACTTTAAACAGAATCAACTTATTTTTCTTTCTTTAAGTAGATGAAATCATATCAATTTAAAATATCTCTTATTTGCCAGATAACAGAAGTTAGTAGTACTGAGGTAATATCTTGATGTATCGATACAATTTTTTCCATGATAAATTAATATTAGAAGGAAAGTTTCTACTTTGGAAGGGTCAGGCCATTCTGGCATAAGAATCCATAAACATCTGCCCACTTCTGTGTAGACGTCATGGTCACGTCAGCACCCTCCTATGGAGCCCCGCGCGCGAGGAGACGAGATGCTCCCTGTCATTTCTGAGAACCTCCAAGCTTATTGACGCAGAGCAGGGTGGTTAGGTTCACACGTAAAGCGTGGTACTGATTACATGAAGGTCTTCGGTACGGTGCCAGGTCCGATGAAGAATTCTGCTCTGGGGCCCCTAGACTTACCTACATTTTCCTCATCTTAAAAAGAGAACCAGTGAGATGTGGCCATGCCAATTTCTGGATAAGAGCAGAAGTCTTCTTTTCAGTGGTCTCCATGTAAGACATCTGGGTGCTGTGCATCCATGCCAGAACCTTAATCAGGGTAGTAACTAATTGCACCAGCACCGAGTAGCTATTCTAGATAGCTTTCATTAAGCACTCAGGGGAATGGGATTTCCAAATCAAAACAAAATAGCGTTGAAAGCCATTAGCACATTCAAGAAACATCTTTGAAAGATAGATTTTGTTATTATAAATTGACTTGATTTCATTTCTCTTTGTTTGATTGGAACAAGACACTAGAGAGAGTTCTACTGCTAACATTCATTTATGATACTTGTTGGATAGAGGTTGGCAAACCTACCACCCCATCCAAAGGTTGGTCCACGAGACAGCCTGCTGTGAATGGTCAGCCTCTCTGGTTGACGTAGGTAAATAGATGCCTGTGCAGCCACCTGGGTGAAACAGAGTGGTGCACTCGTCCCTTCTGCCCTCCGCTTGTCATCTGCTGGTGCCTGAAGGTGACATGTGGCATCACTAGTTCTCAGTGTCCCAGCTTGACCTCGCACGGTAATGTACAAACATTGCCAAGTGCTAGCTTTAAGCTTTTGCAGTAATTTTTTTTTCTCCATAATAGTTATTTTTAGTCAAATAGTTGATATTAAATCAGTGCCATTTGTTGTGTATTTTGGTATATATTTCCATTATTTTAGGGTACTTTTTTTATCTTAATAGACAAAGAAGTTATTTACATATGTCCTTTCAATGGCCCCATTAAGGGAAGAGTATACATCACAAATTATCGTCTTTATTTAAGAAGTTTGGAAACGGTAAGTAGACTCTAAGAACGTAAAGATGACCCTAACTCTTAAAGATAATGCTAAACTGTTTCCTGCTGCCTTGCAAGGTTACTGTGGATCACATTAACGTGGGGATTAGATTTGCTGCTCAACTCTTATTCTTGGCTTACGCAGAACTCATTTTACACTAACACCTGTATACATAGAAAGTAGAGTGGATTTTCAAAGTAAGACAGCTTAGTCCTCCAGGGAGTGGAGAGATAGTGGTCATTGTAACCACTTGCTGGCTTGGAGAAACTAGTACTGGGCAGAAAAGTAGCTCCCTTATCAGAAATACACGAGAACCACTCGTGGAGCATAAGAAAGAATACAGACTCTGGGAGAGCCAGCATGAGTACTGATGGCAGGTCTTTAAAATGATAAGTTCATAATAATAATAATTCATTTAATCGGAATTCCTAGGACTCCGGGCCAGGCTTGGGTAGATTTTGCTGTAACTCCCTGGTTAAGGTTCTGCAGAGCACAAGATGACGGTCGAGAGCTGAGACGGTGCCGGTGCCCCCGAGACAGTGCCGTTGCCACGTAGTCCAGTCCATCTTTTCATTATGTAGTCATGGAATACGTGTGCCATAGCATTTTCGAATTTCCTGCTAAATCTGTGAGTCGTCACTATTGCTGCCGTGGAAGGATGTAGGGTTACTCTTGCCTCTGTTGGCCTGAAGTGGCAGGTGTATGTTGAGCGGATGGACTCCGGGGGACTAGGTCCAGGACACATGGGAGAGTAGCCTCCCAGCACCTTAAACACGAGGCACATCGAGATGCTGGGGGCAGTTAGCTTTGGCTTCATTGCTTTCCCCCCCATCAGTTCTTTGGCATAGTTCTAACCTAGACGCATTTTGATCTCTTTTCTCCTGTTACTGATCGCACCCAACCTCAGAAACTTGCTTTCGTCTTCCTCTTCTTTTAACTGGGAGAGCTTTCCCAACGTGGAGTGGTGCCTCCAGCACAGTTTAGGCGGGACTGGCGTGTGGATCCGGCCAGGACCCTGAGTGGGCTCTTGTATTTGTATGAATCAATTCTGCCTTCCATAAGACTTACCTCGTTACCATCGAGCCATAACCAACTCAGCTGGCTCTCCAGCAGCTTTTCTGAGGCTGTAAATCACATCGGAGTAGATCACCCAGCCTTCTCCCACGGAGCAGCTGGTGGATTTGAATCATGTGCCTTTGGGTTGGCAGCGCAGCTCCTTACCCACTAGGCCACCAGAACTCCGTAAGACGAGAGATGAACAAATGTTGTAGCTTTCCAGGATCGGAAAGGTGATTCTGGAAATTATAGAGCAGTTCCGGAGGAATCAGAAAGGAACCCACTGGGCTTGTCACTGATGCAGTGGAAGTGTGAGTGCACCAAGGGGTGGGAGAGCGCCTGCTGGGGGAACCTGAGCTCCATGGTGACAGTGCACTTTGGTGGCATGGGGTCCCGCGCTGAAGGCTTGAGGGCTGGCTGCCATTGCCTTGCTGCCTGGGGCTTGTCGTCGTCAGCATTCCTGATGCTTTGCAGATGAGCATGCGTGCCCGCTGTGTGAAAACGTAGAAGGCGTGCACCGCGCCCTGGGAAAAACGACCTAGTAGCTCACACGCTAGATGGCAGGATCAAGGTTTCAGATGACCTCAGTTGGCTGGGAGAGGGGGTGGAAAGTAACAATGGGAAATGTAACCTGGATAATGTTTCCTTAGAAAGATCAGTTGTATAAGTAAAAGGTGGAGGAGGTGTGTCTCAGCGGGAATCCAAGCTTTCTATGAGCCTGCAGTGGGGCTCAACTGGTTAAAAAAGGAACATAACCAGAGACTTGAATAACAGACATAGAATTAAAAGCAAACAGTTGTCTGATCAGAAGTGATCAAGTCCAGGTGCTAACTGACGAAAACTAGAGCGAGTTCAGGCGAAGGGAATCCGGTCAGTAGGTGCCCTGTGAGCAATGATGGGAACGCGCACTGGTCGTAGATTAGCCAAGGCTCAAACGAGGTGCCACTGGGGGTGACATCAGGGATCTGAAATGCCTTTCTGAGAAGCCGGGATTAGCCTTCTGCCTGATTCCCAAGGTCAAAGTGGGATGGATCAGTAGAAGGCAATGAGAATTCACATAATGATACTTATAAGAATCATCAAGTTACAGTCTTTTTCCTCTTTGAGTCTCTTGCCTTGTTGTCATTGAAAACTGTCTGTGGGACTTTTTTTTTTAATTCATAGGTTGTTTTTATTAGGGGTCATCAAGTCGACCACGATTCATAGTGGCCCTGTGAACAACAGATCTGAACCTCATTAGGTGGTAGTTGAGTCCATTGTTACAGTCACTGTGACAATCCATCTTGTTGAGAATCTTCTTTTCTTTCAAGGACCTTTCCCAACATGATGTCCTTTCCCAAGAACTGGCCCCTCCTGACAACATGCCCAGAATATGTGAGATGAAGGTTCTCCTCTGTTGCCTCCAAGGAGCACGCTGGTTGTATTTCCTGTGTGACATATTTGCATCTGGTGGATTCGAACTGCGCACCTCTGGGATTGTAGTGCAGCTTCTTGCCACTAGGCCACCAGTTGTTGTTGTTGTTGTTGTTATGTGCCGTCGAGTCGTTTGCGACTCATAGCGACCCTATGTACAACAGCCCTAAACCCTGCTCTATCCTGTGCCAATCGCATGGCCTCTGACACACCCATCCCGATTACCCCAGTCACTGAATCAATCCACCTCATAGAGGGTCTTCCCCTCCTGCGCTGTCCCTCCACCCTACCAAGCATGATGTCCCTAGCCAAGTACCTGTCTCTCCAAAGTATGTCAGACGAAGCCCCAGAATCCTTGCCTCCAAGGAGTAGCCTGGTTTAACCCTCTCTAGGATGAATCTGTTTGTTTTCTTGGCAGTCCGTGGTACATTCAATACTCTTCTCCAGCACCACAGCTCAAAGGCTTCACCAGAGCGCGCCTAAATCCAATCCTGATGTGGCATAAAAGCCCTCTACCCGTCTGGTTCCTGCTGACCCTCTCTTGTGCCAGCTCCCAGTGTTTCTCCCCAGTGTCCTTGCCCCTTTTCCTGTGCACGCGATGCCCTCTGATGCTTCTCTGCCCTTGAAAGTGTTCTCTCACTGACCTGGGTGCCCTGCCGTTTCCAGAGCTGCTGTTCATTCTTCAGAGCCATCTCTCAGAACCTCCTCTCGCTTCCCTCTTTGTGGGCCCACAGCCTTTTCGTGTCTCTGTGTAACCCTTGCTGCGGGGCACGCTTCCCTGGCCACCTTGTCTAAACTTCTCACGCTGCTCTTGCTGCTTTGCCCTGTCCGTGTATGTTCTGTCTCCTGTGTGCTTATCACTGTCCCATTGGATATATTCCACTCGTTTGTCTCTGTCACTGTCTGTCACCTCTACTGCATTAGTGGGTCCCTGACAACGGGGCTTGTCTCTTTGCTCAGCATTTGTAATGGAGCCTGACACACTGAAGGTGGCTTGATTAGTATGTCTTGAAAGAATGGGAGATCTGCCTTTCTGATTTCCTAATACTTCTGTGCCCCTAGCTGGATGGTTCTCCGTGTTCAGTGAAGGAGTAGGCTCATGGCTTGGAAGTTCTCCTCGGAGGGTAGAGGCCTGGCCACTGTGGACCACAGCGTCAACCCCACTCAGCCATGGCACCTTGGATATTAACGTGGCTTATAGAGTTAAGAAATGCCATGATCATCTTTTGACCTGATGGGCTACTCTGGTTTGTGCTATATCAAGGGAAATTTTAGTATATAATAAATACCTCGGAATCAGGTAGCTTATTGTGAGGAAAACTGCTTCTGGATTCTTCTTCAGGAACACTTTGGGTCCAGGCACCCTGGTGAGTGGGGAAGACAAACTAATCTTCCATTTCTCTGCCCGTGACTTCATTCCATCCAGAAAGACTGCCGACCGTCAGGTTGAGCTGAGCTGGGTGAATGATCCTGCCCGTGAGGCACGTACGGCCTTGTGGGATACAGAGATGCATGACTGTCACATAATGTCACAGAGCACGGTGGTATGTGCCCAGCGCTGGGAGGGGACAGACCATTAACCCAAGCCTATGAGTGGTGAAGTGCTTTGCAGAGGAGGTGATACTTGTACCAACTCTTAAAGATTGGTAGCAGTTTCCTGCACAGAAGGGAGGGAGGAGGGTTTGAGGTGCAAAGAGCAGCGTGTAACATAATATAGACAGGCTTCGCCTTGGATGGGCATGGCTGCGTAGTTGGTCGAGGGCAGTGGGGAAGCGGAGAGGATGGGGCTGGAAGAATCGCTTCCCCTCAAGAGGCTTGTAAGTGATGTGTGTTTTGGAGAAACAAGGTGTCTTGCTGTTTGTGTGGTGAATTAGGGGAGGGAGAGCTGGAGGTGAGAAGCCGAACCTCCAGGCAAGCTAGAAAGGGGGAGGCAGGTGTGAGGGGATTCAAGTGGCCGTTTTCAAGTAAGGATTAGAGAAAAGCGGAGAATGAAGCTAATTCCCAGGATTTGTGTTGCTGTTTTCATTCATCACTCTTCACATTATAGAAGGACTATGCCAGCGATAAGGCCGATGGAGAAAGAAATCGTAATGTGTGAACCTGCGACTCTACAGCGACTGCATGGAAATGTCTTAGAAGCTGTTCAAAGCAAAACTCTGACCCTTCTGACATGATTAGCATATTAAAAACTAGTTGCCATGGTGACCACATGTATGTCAGGCTGAAACTGCACACCAAGGGGTTTTCGGTGCCTGATTTTTTTCCCCTCCGAAATAATAGATTGCCAGGACTTTCCTCTGGGTGCTAAACTTCATACTTTTGTTAGCCGCCCCGCGTGTTGTTTGTACCCACCAGGGACTGACTCGCAGCGCTCCTGAGGGAAATGCAAATCAAAACGCTTCCCCTATACGAGGATGGTTGTAATTTTTAAAAGTGGGAAGAGAGAGGAATTAGTAAAGATGTGGAGAAGTCGGAGCCCTTATCTATTGCTAGTGGGATTGTACAGTGGCAGAAACAGGGTCCTCATCAGA